CTTTTAATATGCTTTGAAAAACTTCATAGCTATTTTTATCCAAAAATCTGCAATAATTGTACAATTTCCACACGGACTTGAACAAATATTGTACAAAAATTGGATGATTTTTTTTCATAGGGTTGAATAATGGGAAGGCTGATTCCTTTCAGAGTCTGGGGTTGGGCGAACTCGCATTAGATTAGTTTTGTTATAGTTTTTGTAATTCGGTCTGCTAGCGTGTGCTTGTAGTCCCGGCTTTTTTCTATATCGTTTTAAAATAAAAATAAAATTTGAGATTTGATGTGACTAGGGTGCTTGAGTTGTATAAATTGGGTATGAATAAATAATTAATTTTAATTTTAAGAAATATCAATTAGCAAATATTCTAAAAAGTTTAATTATTAATTTAATAATTAATTTTAAGAATCCTTTTTTATTAGTCATAACCCAAAAATTCTATGCTTACTAACTAGGTTTTCTTGTTGATATCGATAATTGAACCAAAATAACCGACTAGCACTGAATAATGAACCAATTCATAGCTAAGACATCCAAAGGTCTTATATTTAATAGTGAAACACTAATAAAATTAAAAATATCTGCATATGTTTAAACTCATTCACCTTTTTGTGAAAAGTGGCCCGGAGGACACCAATAATTTCACTCAAAACGTATTATATCTGATATTGTATGATGATCGATATACTGAACTTTGCTATACAACATTTCAATGTGTGATTTCAAAGTTAAAGAGGTCTTTTTTTTAACTCATAAATGCATACTATAAGTGCATATTTACTAACGAAAATTTAACCAGAAAATATTTGTCTTAAAATACCCTATAAATAATTTTATCCATTATTTCTCTGTGGGCATTCGTAAAAATTCAAATTCCATGAAAATGACATTTACATATATCCGTGTTAGAGAGATGAAAATTTCATAAAAATGATATATTCATGGAAAAAACATGGAAATGTAAACGCGGATCATTGGATCAACATTTTAATTTTTGTGACATGATCAACATTGAAAGAAGTTTCATTACACAATGCTTACATAAATTAACTTATGCAAATTTTGTGTTACCTTTACTCGTACATTATTTATAAATAAGGTTTTTATTTGAAAAAATTTTGGGCTTTTGGAAACAATGTTTTCTCAAAATATACCATTAACAGGAAAAAATATTCTGAGATATTTAAAAACCAATTTTACAAATTGGACTAGTGGAAATAAAAAAATTGATGATTTTATTCAAAAAGGGCAATTAGAAATCAAAAACTATTATGATGATATAGTGCTTGAATGGATACCATACAATCAGTTTAATGAAATTAAAGAAACAGGCAAAAATAGCCTTATAACATTATATTCAGCAAAATGGAAAGATGGTCCATTATATAAAAAGTATAATTGGAGTGGAAATTTTACAAGAGATTCAAATAAAAAAGTTGCTTTAAAATGCTTACACAATTCACAAAAATCCTTTGATTCTTTAATAAATGAGGTATGAAATTCAAGTAATCAAATATTTTTTTAATTAATGTATTTACAATCTCCCTTATTTATATTTAGATTAAAAAATATCCAACAAAATATCAAGCATTTCAAGTATTGTATGGGATATCTCAAAATCCGGATACAGGAGATTATATTTTGGTTCAAAATAGTTCTATAAACTTGGAAAATCAGATTAGTGAAAATAGTGGAAATGAAAAAATTGATAATTTTACTCAAGAAAGACAATTAGAAATTAGTAACTATGATGATGTAATACTTGAATGGATACCATACAATAAGTTTAATGAAATTAAAGAGACAGGAAAAAATGATCTTATAACAGTATATTCAGCAATATGGAAGGATGGTCCATTACACAAAAAAAATAAATGGGATGATTATACAAGAGATTCAAATAAAGAAGTTGCTTTAAAATGTTTACAAAAATCGCAAGAATCCATTGACTCTTTAATAAATGAGGTATGAGATTTTTTTAAAATTTTGAATACTTTTTAATTAATATATTTACAATCTCTTTTATTTATATTTAGATTATAAAATATCCAACAAAATATCAAGCATTTCAAGTATTGTATGGGATATCTCAAAATCCAGTTACAGGAGATTATATTTTGGTTCTTATGTGGACAAGTGGAAATGAAAAAATTGATGACAAATGTTGCCACGTGGCACAAAACAATCAATAAGAAAAAAATAAAAACTCCATATTTTCTTAAAATATTAAAATAATTTTATTGTTTTTATTATAAGAACATTTAAAATGACTCTTTTACACTTTATTAAATTTACTAAATAAATAAACAACCTCTTTTAATTAAAGTAGCTCCAAATATTAATACTATTGTAAAAATACTAATTACTCCATAAATATTCAGGTTATCTTGACAAAAATTAATATTTGAGTGAGTAGTACCGCTAGAAAAGAAATGGCGAAATCTAGTAGTAGTAAAAATCTATTCGTGATGTAAATAATAATAGCGAGCAGGTAACAAAATGGCAGAGAAAAGCGTAATTTAGAAAAATAATGTTCAAAAATTTTTGTGTTTATATATTTTGTTTAAATAAAATTCATTGTTTTGTTCTTGTGTATCGATCTTTACAGGTATTAGTAAATTCACGTGATAGTTGGTACGATCTACATCAGGGAGTCCCCAGTAATTTGTGTAATAATCACAATGATCGCCCATTGCATCACTTTTTTTTTTTTTTTTTTTTTTTAACAGTAACGCGCTTTATTAAATGTGATCGATTTATTAAAATCTTACAAATGAATATAAAAGCACTTAGAGCAAAGAAAGTTCAAAGACTTTCTAAACCCTATAACTGAGTTTTATCTATCTATAACTATTAATATAAAATCTAAACTAAAATATTGTGTTCGATTCTATAAATATATTGTTTTCAAACTACGCTACTGTTCTAGTATTTTTATGATGTTTTTGAATTTTTGCTATTTTTATATGTTTTGAGGCTTTACTATTTTAAAAACAATCAAATTAATTGTGAAGAAATATCAAATAAAAACTAAATAGTATAAAATACATTAAAAGCGAAAAAAAAAATTTAAAGCAAAATAAAATTCTATCTTGGAAATTAAAAAGAAAAACTATACTACCGCGGAAAATATCAAATTTACTCTTGCAACAAATTCTCTTTGTTAAGAAGGTGAAAATCGATCAGATTCCAGTATTGCTCTTCTAAAATAAATTTTCAAAATTGTTAAGAATTTTGGGGATAATTTGTTCATTCTGTATCAGAATTTTCCCTTTCTCCCTGCTTACGCACTACTCGCTTTTTGTTTTCATTTTTCATTTCTTCATCATCATCGTCCGATAGCTCTGTTACTTTCTTTTTTCCCTTTCTTTGTGTCGTGGTTGGTGTTGTCTCTAATTCATCTAATCTTTCTTTAAATTTATTATTTAAATTATCTAACTCGTCGTGTTCTTCTGAAGTTCTTGGAACCGTTGAGATTAAGTCAGTAGTTGCGTCAACAAATCCGTCCTTTGGTTTTTGTGGGATATTGAATTTATTGATGCCGAAACGTTTTTTGTATGTTCCATTTTCAGTGATCAATTCGTCTTGACTTTTGATCTTCAAACCATTTTCCATGTTTTCTTCTTCCATCGTCGAGTTGTAAATTGCTTTCATTAAATCCTTTTCATCTTTAAAATATATCAAAATGTATTTAATTTTGTTTATTTTGATAATTTTTGAAAAAAGGCCACCGTATTTTAAGTTTTCTGCTTTTAATCCTTCATGTTCTGGTCTCCCTGGTAAATCTATAAATTTTTTGTATCCTTGCCATTCATATTTTTTCTTTATTTCAGTAGTACTCATTTTCGCGTCGAACATCCTAAAAAAATAAGTCTGCTCTTTTTTCTTGATCGCTATATTAGGTCCGCCTTTGATGAAGATTTCCTCCATTTCTGTTGTGAGGCGGATTCTAGCTCGAACAGTCCTATATTTGTAGTTCCATTTACACTCTAATTTTTCTATATATCCTATTTGTTTTAGCGAATCATAGATTTCATTATCCTTCCAATAGGCTGGAAAATCGTAAAATTTTAAGTCACGTGATCTTTCGGAAAAATGTTTTTTCAGATAATCATCATCGGAAGTTGTTTGAACCGGAATTTCGGTGATCTTCCCCTTTTTAATTTCTTGTGTGGATGATTTCTTTTTTTTTGATTTTCTGCGTCGATCATGGCTTTTTGTCTTACTTTTCGGTTTACTGGATGTGGAAATCTCACTCGTTGATGTATTCTTCTCAGAATTTTTCAAATTTAGCACGTCATTTTCTAGTTTTTTTATTCGTTCTTCTGCCATCTTTTTTTCCTTTTCTAAATTGTCTATCTTTTCTTTGTATTCGTTGCATTTAGCCCTCGTAGAATTTAATTCGTTCTTGGTTTTTTGTAATTCTTCTACTGCGGCATTTTTTTCTCTGAGTCGTTTCTGAAGGGTTTCGAATACAATTTCCAAAAGTTTTTTGGTGGTATCGGCAGCCATTTTCATTGTAAAAGTAGCGATATCCATTAAATTGTCTTTGATAATATCGTTACCCTTTTTTCTTTTTCCATTTATAATGCCTTCTCCCATTTCTCCTGGTTGAAATATTAAATCTCTTTCCATATACGTTGATTCATATTCTGCTAAATTAACTCTGCTATTCTTTCTCATAGCATTTGTAAAATCATCTAGATGATGTATTTCAAATCCTTTGAAGTCCTTGTAAAAAAGTAGTAGATAATGTCTTAAAAATTCATATTTTTTTTGTTCTTCTTCTTCTTTATTCGTTGTTGCTCCTTCTTCTTTATTCGTTATTGCTCCTTTTTCTTTATCTGCTGTTACTCCGTCCTGTGTTGTCGTGCTTGCTTGAGAATTTTCTAGGAGAATTGTTTCCAAGATTCTTTTAACGTTTTCGCCGCCCATTTTCATTGTGAAGATTGCGATATCCATTAAAATATCTTTGTATATATTGCTCCCTTTTGTTGTTCTTGCATCTCGGACACCTATTTTTATGTCGCCTGGCGGAAATAACATATCTTTGTCCAAGTGTGAAATTTCGTATTCTTCTAAGTTAAATTTTTTATATTCTTTTAAACATTTTGTAAAGTCTTCTATATGTTCCAACTCGAAACCTGTAAAACCTCTATAGTACTCGTTCAAATATTGTTTAAGAGTTTCTTCCATATTTGTTATTTATTATTTAAAATATGTATTTTGTTATATATTTTGTTAATAAAATTAAAAATTTTTCTTTCGTAAAATTTTGGTCCGAAAGATCGTCAGGAAGAGTTCCCCGTTCGCTTATAAGGTATTTTCCGCCCATTGCATCACTATTAGCAATTAAGAACGTTTAAATATCAATATTTAAGATAAAATAGTATTCATGATTCCACAAAAAATCGTATTGGTAACTCTTATACAATCCTTGTCGGACCATTTCCTGAATACCAATTTCCTGGATATACCTTTTCCCGAATCCAATTTTCTGAATGCCTATTTCCAGAAATTGTTCATTTCCCGAAATTCCATTTTACCGAATGCCAATTTCCCGAATCTCAATTTCTGGAATTATATGAAACATCCAATTTCCCGAATTATTTTATCCTGAATTATTTTATCCCAAATTCCAATATCATGAACCTTGATATTCTGAATGGACATTTTACTGAATTTAATATTATTTTGTATAATTTTACATCATAAATTAGAATTATTAATTTCATAAACACAACCTTTATTTTATTTAGTATATTAATCAATAAATTATATATTATGTATATGATAAATATAATATGTAATAAACTAACTTGTATTAAAACAAATACTTAAAATAAATAATGCAAAAGCGAGCAGATTTTATTATTCAGTCAAAGTATCTGTTTAAATTTGTACCTGTACCAAATTTTTTTCTCCTAAAATTCCTAAAATGTAAATTAATTATATTTACTTGATGTTTAGGAAATATTATCAACTCAGTGGGTCGGAGAAAAATTTTATTAGCTAAAAATGTAATATTTCCTAATTGATTGTATATATATTTCCTTATGTTTACTTCATATTTACTTCAATTGATCGTAATACTTGTACAGGCAAGGGATGCTTGAAATAGCCACTCCCCAAATTACATAATTATGACAAATAAAATTTATATTCAATTGTTTTATATAAAATGGTAGAAATTAGTCTTTATCAATAGTTCTTATTTTTTAAATTTATTATATAGTTTATTTATAAATCATATGAGAAAATATACAATTTATTATATAATTCAAGAAATTGTCCATTTAGAATATTAGAATTCTGAATATTATAATTAAGGATATTTGAATTCGGGATATTGGGATTCAGGATATTGGGATTTAGGATTCGGGAAATTAGACTTCAGGAAATGGGATTCGGGAAATAAGGATTCGGGAAATTGTATATTTCAGGAAAATGTTCAGTTCTAAAAATTGGCATTCAGGCAAATGACTTCTAGAAAAGATATATTCAGGAAAAAGGCATTCAGGAAATCGTACTGTAACCTTATACAATGGATATATTTATAATGCTTTTATTAATTATATTATGCTGGTTATAACGCAGTACAAGAAAAAAGTGAATAACGGATCCTAATCTATATGACTCAGTTCCGTTCAGCCGAATGTTAATGAGTGTATTGCTTTTGATGTCAATTCTTTCACTGGTTATGGTCATTGCTTGTCGAATACCACGTGAGACATGCTGTGAGAATTGTATAAATAATGAAGTTTAAATGAATCAAAAGTTAAAGTGGATTAGAATAAAAAACAAATTTTTATGTATTGTCTACATGGCGTTATATTTCAGCTTAAATTTGTTTGATAACAGTTTATATGAAAAGTGTTTAATAAATTCTTTTGTTATGTAGTTATAACATGCGATACTTATGATACTTTTTAATAGAACAATTTATTTAAATTTTATTAATCAATTTGTTTTATTGTACATTCGTTTCGTTTTACTATAGATGAAATACCTATCAATACTGACTACATAAATATACTCAATTTACAAACAATGAAAAGTGGAATTGTAGTATAATTAGTAAAATTTGATAAAGCATAACTGGTTTCTTTGAGGTAGACTCAGACTTTTGTGGCTCTTGTGGCTCAGACTCTTGTGACTCTTGTGGCTCAGACTCTTGTGATTCTTGTGGTTTAGATTCTTGTGATTCTTGTGAAATTGTTTTGGTTTTAATTGAATCAAATCCATAACCATCTATTTCCAAAGTACCATTTGTATTGATATAATAAATATTTTCATCCACAAATACATCTTTGGTACTTTCCCTTTGAAGATAATATAATGTTGCATTACCATCAACATTTACCATTTTATCAACTTTTCCACTCTTGTTCAATCTATCCGCTTTAGCAATAGCATGAATTTTTGCTGTAAAGGGTACAACAAGATTCACCATATATATAATAACATTAACTTGTATAGAGGTGTGGGGTGGAACGATAACTTTATGTTTAATATGATATGAAACTATATCTGATATAATTTTTCTGTTTGTTTTTTCATCCGTTGAACTAAAGTTTCCTTCAATACTTAAAGATTCTAATTTCACATTTAATTTATTGAAAACATTTCTATCAATTTCAAAAGACATATCAACATGTTCACCAACTTCAAATGATTCAGACTTTCTAATTTGTAAAGTAAAGATATTGGATTTTGTTTCTGTTCTATCAATTGTTTGTTCTATAGTAGCTTTTGTTGGATTTTCAATTCTATTATCACGAATAATTGGTGTTTTGTTACTAATCAATATTTGATCAAAATTTAAATTAAAATCCATCACTTTTGTAATTAATTTATAATTAGTGGGTTCAAATAACCATTGTTGATAAAGATTATCCTTATTAGAAATGCTGATACAGTATAAACTAATTCTCCATTACTATCTATACTACCATCTAAACTTCGAGATTCATTTCTTACATTAGCAATATTATATGTATTATTTTTGATTTTCATAAATATCCAATGTTGATAAGGATTAACATTAGAATCATGTTCATAACTACTAACATATACTTTTTTACCATTATTATCTAAATTTGTACGTGATCCTATATTTATGATATTATAAACATTATTTTTTCCTTCAACCTTTCGTAATGACCAATGTTGATACGGATTAGAATCATTAGATATACCAACTTGAATATTATTAACAACGCTAACTAGGTTCTTTTCTGACATAGAGTGTATAATATTATATGTAATTCCTTCTAATAAGTCAAAATCATTAGGATCATCAGTAATAACTCGATCATTAGGAATTAATGAATACGTAGAAATTATAGATAATAGGAAAAAACCTAAACAATTAAGAAATTCACTATTTTTTACTTTCATAATTTTAAATTAAAAAAAGGTGAACTAAGAGAATGAGAAAAAAAAAAGTAAGTTAAAAAAAATATTATAATCCATATTAATTATTAAATTGCGCCACGGAAAAGTTTTGACGAAACAAAATTTGACGAAATCTCAATGATTAAATACGTTATTAATTTTTCTTTATTTAACGTTTCAAAACAATGATTTTTTTTTGGAAATATGCACAGCCATTTTAGAATTCCTTACGTACCCATCAAAATATGTCACGAAAGTGGCCATGCTGTGTCATGTAGCTTGTGGCTTTGTAGGGATGGAAAAGTTCCAGGTGGAGTGATTTTGGAGCCGAGCTGAACCGAACTGTCTAAATCTGGTCACGTGTCGTTACACGAATTTCCAAAAGGAAAATTTGTTTCCAGGTCACATAAAATGTCCAAAAAGGAAATTTCTGCGAAGATAATATAATTCCGGCCGAAATTATGAATATCAAACTGAACCGGTTTTTTGGTCAGTTCCACAAATTCGGTTCGGTCTGGTTCGGGTCGTGTGGCTTGACATAAAAAAATAATTTAATCTCACTGCGCATGACTTGCATGATCTCTTTCAAGTATTCTGGGGCTAAGTTTTCTCATGTTTTTAGCTTGTGTACTTGTGTAAAAAAAAGGATGTTGATACATACATGATTAATTTCACCGAATTGTGTTATACTAGTAGTCAAATGCGAAAAGCACTTTACGTAGTTATTGTTTATGTTAACTATCACAAATTTATCTTGAAGCATAAAAATACCCGTTTTCTACAAGTTATTAGATTTCAAGTTATTTTATTTGAAAGTACCGTATAGCCGTAATACGAAAAAACATACTATTTTGTTTCAATACGCTTTGCTTTAAAAATCATCATGAGTAATATACTTCGGTAATTGTAATCTTTTACTATATGAAATGTGGTAAAATAATCAATTAGATATTCCGGCTATACGAATTACGAATGTCTATTATTATGCACGTGGAAGTTGTTGATTGATCAGTAAAATACGCAAAAAAATCTTTTGACCACAGTTCAGAAAATATAGAAATGAAGTGGATTAGTATGGTAAAATGTAGGTACGTTTTAAATATTCACTATTTGAGTAATTCAATGATTGTTTTTTGAACAGATGAATATAAATAGAAGTATATATAAATGAACCATTCTTTTTAACGTAATTTTTCGATACTTTATCGCATTTGCATTAAAGGTGAGAATTAAGATAATTTTAAAGAATGATATTCTGTAATGGAAAATTAATTTATTCTTTCCATATTAATTTTCTATTCCTGATTGGATAAAGAATTTTATAATAGTCGGCGTGATTAGTATGTTTCAATTAAAGGAAGTATATCGGACGTTTAGTCCTCGTGATAGAAACCAATTAATTATCGTGATGACTAATGATATACAGTAAGTATATGATAACTTTCGTGAAATGACTACTACTTATTTCACAATAAATAATTGTAAATCAAGAAAATTCCCACATTCAGCAATACTAATATTAAAATGTAAAATGGCTATAAAATTATTATTGTAAGGAATAAGTATAATGCATTGGATTTTTACAAATGTGATTTATAAAATTTTATTTAAGTTTTTTAAATTTAATTTTTCATTAGCAAGTTTTTTTTATGTTGAATAATGAGGAAAAAAATAATATTTAATTAAAAAATTTCTTTCACAAAAATATTATTTTTTAATGTTTAATATGAGAGAAACCTAAAGTTCAAGTTAAAATGTTTCGTCTTTCATGTGATAATACCCGAAAGGTCAAATAATGAGCGAAATTGTCGAAACTTTCCGATACCGGGAATTCAACTATAATGTCACGCGACTTTAATCATCGATCACGGTCACTTTAAAGATAATATAAATTATAATTTTATTTCCAAATTTAATTATTTATTGACTTACTATAAAAAGTTACACGAAAAAAACAATGAAAATTTTCAAGATCTCACGTAAAAAATATTTAATCAAAATTACTGATAAGTATATTGTAACATAATCATTATTTGCAATAATGTGAGAATTATTTGATGAAACATAACTAGATTTTTCGGAGAGGACTCTGATGTCTTTGGAGTGGACTCTGGCACCTTTGGAGTTGACTCTGGCACCTTTGGAGTGGAATCTGGCACCTTTGGAGTGGACTCTGGCTTCGGAGGTAACGTGTCTTGCGGCAAATTTTTTGCATAAGTATATGAATTATATCCATAGCCATCTATTTTTAGTGTGCCATTTGTAATGATATAAAAAAAATTTTCATTCATGATTTCGACTCCAGGATTTTCTCTTTGAGCATAATATCTAATTGCATTGGCATCAACATCAATCATTTGAATAGCTTTCCCGTCTGTATTCAGTCTATCCGCTTTACAAGTGATTTGAATTTTTGCATGAAAAGGTACCATATAATTAACCTTATTTGCAATAGCAATAACTTGTACTGAGGTATAGGGTGGCACGGTAGCTTTATGTTTAATACGATATGAAACTGTATCTGTCACGGTTTCTTTATAAGTTTCTTCAGTTGTTTCTTTAATCTCACCTTTAATCCCTGTACCAACACTAACACCAGCTTTCACAGGTAATATATCAAAAATATCAAAAATATCTAGACTAATTTCAAAAGACATACTAATATATCCACTAACTTTAAGTGACTCAGATTTTCTGATTTCCAAAGTATAAGAATTTGATTTTGTTGCATCTTTTTCAAATGCTTGCTCTATAGTCGCATTTGTTGGATTCTTAATTGTATCGTTACTACTTAAAAGGTTAACAAATTTACGTTGCAGTTTATCATTTTCAAAATCTAAAACGAAATCTTTTACTTTTGTAATTAATTTATAATTAATAGGTTCGAATAACCATTGTTGATAACGATTATTCTTACTAGATTTTCCAATATAAACTATTTTACCATTACTATCTATGTTACCATGTTCGTTTATTGTATTGACTATATTATACGTATTATCTTTGATTTTTATAAATATCCAATGTTGATAAGGATTGGTTATAGAATCATGGTCAAGACTACTAGCATATACTCCTTTACCATCGTTATCTAAATTTGTACCTGTTCCTATATTTATAATGTTATAAACATCATAATTTTTACCTTCAGCCTTTCGTAATGACCAATGTTGATATGAATTAGAATCATCAGATGCACCAACTTGAACATGATCACCAACACTAACTAAGTACTTTTTTGATATGGAATGTACAATATTATACGTAATTCCTTCTATTAGGTCAAAGTCTTTAGGATCATGGGTAATAACCCAATCATTTGGAATTAAAGAACAATAAGTTGAAATTATAAAGAAAAAGAAAAATCCCAAATAATGAAGAGAATTATTCTTATATATTACTTTCATGATTTAAATTAGAAAGTAAATTAATGAAAAAAAAATATGAATGTACATGTTTCATTCTTTATTTATTGACGTAACGTTACGCTATAGAAAAAAAGAAACTTCATATAGTAGTAAGCCAACAAACAACATACCAGAACGAAAATTATTATAGTTATTTAATCGTTTCAAAACAATATTTTTTTTTTTGGAAGTACAAAGGTTGGGCTTAGTTCAACCGGATAAATCAGGATGATCATTTTTATTTTTTATTTTTTATTTTATCCGATTAAACAATACAGTTATGCTTATTCCATACATTATCCGGATTCAGGATATAAAAAAAAAATTTTTTTAATCACTTAAACTTAATTGTTAACTACTAGGATTTATTATACACACAAATTTTATTACGCAATTTCATAAAGGTGATCGACAATTAGGATTGTGGCGTGGCGAAAATAAGAGTTAAATATAAAAAAGGATTTATGATCAGCACAAAGCCACAATTTTATTACATATCGGCTGATCAGAAAAGCCTCCCATAATTTTATATGCTAAATGACAATAAGTAACCCATCAGCTATATACAATATACTAAATACAATATTTACTACTATAAACCTAATTTGACCATTTTTGAATTATTGACGGTTTCAAAACTTTTTTTTTTTTTCAAAACTTAATAATAATGAACCCATCAACTGAGCTTAAATATTAATTGGCTTAATTTTTCCAATCAGCCGATATGAGAAACATTTTGTTTTGAATTTTGCATTCGTAGATCACGGATATGTAGATTAATATCCGAACCAGATTTTTCCAGATAGTGATCAAATTGGTTATATTTCTTCTATTTCATTCACTAATTTACTTAATACCGTATAGCACTGCCTATAGTGCTTGTGTGACTTACAAAAAAAACCTGATTTAAAAATTGAGTAATACTCATTGTGACGAATGAGCAAATAAACCATGCATTATATAATGATGATCCTGAGTCCTAATTTAAGGCAATGGACTAAAATGATTAGTCACGTGTCATTTTGGTCATTTCAATATTTTAAAAGTGACAAATGACCTAGTCATTTGCATATGCAAAATTTCAATGTTTCGAGAATAAAATCATATCACGAGATAATATAAATTTGTAATTCCGGCCAGCATTATAAATTTGGCCTGAATTAGCTAAATTTAAAATGACTGGTTTGTATACGGTATTCCTCTACGTACGATTGTTTATTGGATGCAATTAAATTAATTTCTTTTAATACGTTAATAATGAAAAGATCAAATTTTTTATTAAATGAAAGTAATATTTAAAATAAAAAATTAATCGAAAAAAATTTATTATTGCAATTAATAAATTTTGAATAAAAATATTGATAAGGTCAAATTAATATAAATTTGTTTAAAAATATTAAAACTTTTTGTAAAATTTATTTTACTTCTGATGTTAATAACTTTATTTTAATTTAATGAAATTTCTATTTCTATTTAAAAAAAAATTTCTTTCTTTTCCCATTTTTTTTTTTTTTCGTCGTCCTCAAAAAAATCTTACTTTTTATTTTTCTTTTTTAACTTTTTTTTTTTTGTTAAAAAACCATCCCAAGAAAAAAACTAAATTTCTTATCAAAAAAAATTTATTCAATAAAGTATATATTTTGCTTAATAATAATTTATGATAAATTAGTAAAACTTAATAAAATTATCATAAAATAAATATTAACTAGACGAAACAAATTCAATTGCAGCTAAAGACTAAATCAAAAAAGTTTTTTTATTTTAAAATTTGTTGGTTGGACCGCAGCAAGTACGAGAACCTCTTAATTTAGTTAATTATTTTACAACTAGAGGCGGATAAATAAACGCCAACACGCTAATTATCCGCAGTGGGCTATCCCGAAAAAGCCAATTAAAAATGATAAGAGAATCGTTTTATTAACAATTAAAAATGATTCATTCTGAAGCCAATGAGCTAAAGATGACCTTTATGTAACTGAGTTTAGTTAGGACAATAACTAAAAATAAATATTTTGACAGGATTGACAGGATCCAACAGGGTTGTTATACAATATGTATATATTATTTACTGATCTGGTAGTATATAACCGAAGGATGATAACCCATTTATATACTAAACTAGATCAATAAATATAAACAGTAATTATACATTATTTATACTAATAACATGGTTAATTTTTCACCCGAAAAAAATTTTAACAATGATTGGCAGATTTTTGTTTTTGCAGTTCAGTGATATTCTAATTCCCCATCAAATAACTAATATTTATTTAATTCTATTATTACCTTTTTATATAATATTTTACATATAACTTAAACTAATTAAATTCTTTATTTAAGTGAAAAAAAATTATATTATTGGATAAATTCTGAATTACATGATCAATTGATCAAATAAATATTTCATTAAGAAAGGCATATCAAAGTTTATTCTTTTTTTATTTATTGTATAATAAAGGTACAGCCATCATATTGTAACATATTGATTAACGGACTACATATGTTGAAAGATTTTTCGATTATTTGATCAATCAAACGTGATTGTTTAATTACAGCTATTCCACCCAATTCATGAGTTTCATACGCAGTCATACGCACATTGATAATTATGCTGAATGACTGCGGTGACTGCGGTGACTGCGTATGACTGCGCATGACTGCGGAGGACTGCGTAAATTACGTAATGGTCCAATCAAATTATACATTCTTTACATTAAAAAATTAATATTAGAAGGCCAGACCAGCCAGGAAATCCAATTAATATTATAAAGAATTATAAATTATAAATTTCTTCTTGCCTAACTCAAAATGATTGGTTAAATTTAAATGTTTATCACTTACTATAAATGGATTGTTTTGTGGCCAATGAAAATATATACTATGCATTTGATCGTCATCATTATCCACATTTCACATGCCGATTACATATATTAGACATCTTGGTAACTCGTTAGTCGTTACCGTAATTCCAGAATAGCTAATTATATTTTGTAAGAAATACTTTATTTATTATGAATTTATGATCATAAAAGATTAGACTGTAATCTTAAATAATTTCATGTCGCATACATTGTTTATATTTATGTGAAATAATCTTCAAGGTTTAATCTATTGGTTAGATTAAAATACTAATTGGAAATGGAGAAATTTTTTGTGTGGGAAAAAAATTAATATAAATATATCTGAATCGCTATCGAAAAAGAAAAAAATATTTCTTTTTTTTAAAAAATCAAAATTATTATCAAATATGATTTCAAAATTCTTCGAAAATTTTAATTACCTTTCTTTGATAGTGATCATAATAATATTTTATGTAACATATTATTATTATAAATATTTTAATCGTATCAATCCTTTACCTGGACCATTCCCAATCCCATTCTTTGGAAATTTACATCAATTATTTATTTTTCATGGTGGAAGTTTAAAAGAATTTTATAATTTTAATTATAAGAAATATGGTGATATATTTGAAGTATATTTTGATACAAGAAGTATAACTTTAAATAGTTCAGAACATATTGAAAAAATTTTATCAGCTTCAACAAGAAATCCATATATTATGAAATTATCTGAAGATGATAGTAAAGGATATTATGAATTAGGAGTTATGGGAAAAGGTTTATTAATAAATCAAGAATTTAAATCATGGAGATATAATCGTCATTTTTTTACACAAGCTATTTTATCACCAAAATTTGTTCATGAAGCTACTTATTGGACATGTAAACTTTTTGAAGAATTGGAAAGTTATTGGAATAAATTATATTTTAAAGGTGATAATAAAAATGTATTAGATTTCTCTTTATGGTCTAATCAATTTACAAATGATATGATTTTTACTTTATTAACTGGTGAAAGATCTTATTCAATGGCAAGTTATTTTAATGAACTTAGTGATAATGAAAAAGCTGAACGTCCTTCTGCATTAATTGATGAAACTGTAAAATTTGTTCAAGCAATTCGTAAATATCTGATGGGTATTTTATTGTTTCAAATAGTTTCTCCTTTTTTACGACATTATTTTCCATATTTTAAGAATAAATCAGGTGATATGATAGAAAATTTGAAATATTTGAATCAAAGATTTGATTCAATTATTAAGAAACGTAGACAAGAAATTGAAAATACTCCATTAGATAAACCTTTATCAAATGATATGTTGACATCAGTAATTATTGCGAATACACCTCGTGATGTTAATTATGATAAAAATGTCAATGAAAAAGATATGAGACCTATGACTGATATTGAAATTCGTGGTATTATATTTGATGGTATAGTTGCTGGAACTGATACTGTGAGTAAAATTCTTTTTATATATATAAATTTGGATATTATTTTTTAACGTTTTATTTTTTTTTTTTTATTTTCATTAGACTGCGAATACAATTTCATACATTATCTATTATCTTGCACATAATCCAGATGTTAAAAAGAAAATGTTGAATGAAATTGATAGAATCTTTCAGGGAGATAAAACACGTCCAATTACCGAAAATAATTTAAATAATTTAAAATACTGTGAAGCTATTGCAAAAGAAGTATCTCGTATCTTCTCAGTTGTAAATTCGTTACCAAGATGTCTTGAAAGACCTGAAGAAATAGCAGGTTATCAATGGCCAGCTAATACACATGTTCGAATTAATATTGATGCTATTCATCATAATAGTGAATATTGGGAAGAACCAGAAAAATTTAATCCTGATAGATGGTTAGATGAAGGGTTTGAACCAAAGAAAAATTCTTTTATTGCATTTGGTAAAGGTTTGAGAATCTGTCCGGGAAGAAAGTTGGCAATTATTGAATTAGTTTGTTTAATGTCTTTATTATATAGGAAGTATGAAATTGATTTGGTAAATAAGGATGCTCCTTTAAAAACCTTATCTTTTTCTATAACAGCTTGTACCGAGTTATTAGTAGAAATTAGATTAAGAAATTAATAATTTCACTTTTATATTATTTTTTGTTATATTTTTTTTATACACATATGAATATGTATATTTTTGATTTTTGATTTTCGATTTCTCTAGGAAAAATTGACGTTTAATAAAAATCACGTTAAAAAACTAAAATGTTATTATGTATGATCTATTATGTTTTTATATTTCCCTCGCGTAAAGACCGTTTATAATTGCTAATATGTTAATTACGCATTTCTAATTGTAAATAAATTTGAAAGTTAATTCTTTGTTATAAATTTACTGCTAGTTCGTCTGGCATTATGATGAATCTGCAAACTACAATTAGTGGATGCTCATTCCCGGTTGTCGCCCGCCTCGCCCCACATCGCTTGGATTTCGTCACATATCCTTCTCTCCATTTTAAATATAATTTATAATTTGTATTATGTATTATAAATATTTCTACTTCATTTGGTAATTTTAAACGAAAGCTTTAATTAATTCAAAAATTGAATATGAATTTAATAAGTGTAAATATTTAAGAATTTATAATAGTACGGACACATTTTAATATATTCAATCCACTTATAAATATTCCAAAATTAATTGAGTTTCATTAAAAATTGAACGTCTATCTAAAGTTTTTTTAGATTAGGGTAAGATTCTTTCCAGAAATGATTTAAAATTAATATTTCACAAAATAGAATAGGTTGAAAATTCAAGAACCCACCTTTTACTTTTCTTTTTATCAGGAAAGAGAAATTCAAAACAGAAAGTTACTATAAAGAAGAATATACTATATATCTGTAAGTCTGTAACTACGAATTTGATTTACATTACAGTTGAATTTTTTTTTTCAGCAACAAATAACTTTACACTCAGTCTAACAACCTTCACATTAATACCTTATATCTATATAACTAAAATTCAGATTACCTCCATATAAATAATTTGAAACGTGCGATGACTGCGATGTGTTGTCACTTGATTTATTATAGATAAAATATTATGGTTATACATTCATTTTGATTGGAAATTTTTAAAGGTAAAAATAACATCACGTAAGATCAGATTTTATTGGTCTGATTTGTTTGCGTTTGCATACCATTTATCTTAGTAAAATTCCAAAAAAATCAAAGGAATATTTACAAACTTGCAATTTTTTTTTATAAAAGTTATTCATTTTCTTTAAAGACAAGTTTAGCATACTTTAGAGACACCATGTTTTCTATGCAAGCTTCTATAATTAAATATATTTATACCATCAACAAGCGTAGCGCGCAAAACATATTGAAAATTATTCATCCCAAATTTACAATAAAAATGGTATTCAAGTATGTGTTTTAGTATTAAAAACTTTTTCAACTATGCAATAAAATAGTAAGAAAAAATAATAATTATAACAAAAAGGAAATAGCGCACTTTACAAAATTATAGCGAAAAGACTTGAGTTATTGTGTATGTGATGTACTGTATGTTATGTATTGCAGTAGTATGAATGTTGACGAATTTGAAACTGCAATATAATACCAATGAAAAAAATTAAAAATGTTTAATTTTATTCTTAATCATGTTCCTCTTGGTACGATGCGATCAGACGCAGAAGATCGCTGAAGATATCCGATTTATCTTTATATATATTTTTTAAATACCTTTTTTTTTTTATTGGTTCTTATAAACTGAAGATTTTTTTTTGAAATTTTTATATTTTTATATTCTTTCACCTCAAAACCATAATAAAATTTCTTTCAAAATAATGTATAGCTTTTCCTTTTTTGGATAATGCCAGGCGGTATTACGTAATTCTGGCCCTAAAGAGTGCGTACTAATAGTAAAAGTGCTAATCCCTTGTTACTATAAGCAAGAGACAAAATTAAAGCCCATAATAAAGTACAGAATGCCACAAAAAGAATTTAATATTTATGCTTTCATCAGTTACGGGTGAGCTTATATGTTAAACTAACAAAAATATAATAAGTAATACATATCGATATGTATTACATGCTAAGACCAATTAAAATCGAAAAATCGGTAAAGCAAGCATAAACCACGCAAAAATGATATTTTTCATTTACTAGTTTCCAAATATAAAATAATATTGCCACCAGGTATTACAAATTATTACTTATTAATACTTTTTTAAATTTTTATAGATTCAGGTATAGTAATTATAGAGAAAAATGTCAATTCAATAAAATACTATTCTAGCTTTTTTTGTTTAGTATTTTATTATGACTAGATATCGCTTAGTATAAGTTACTTGACTCACATGTAAGTTCATGATAAATGTTTTCTTCGTGTATGTATAATTTTTTTATACGATTAAAATTGATATATTTATTCTTTCGCAACAGATAATGCCTTATTTTTAAGTTGATCGCTTCTTTTTTTACTGTAATGGCCTAAATCAATTATTTATTAATTAATGAATTAATAATAAATACTCATTTGCACCGTTTTAACTCCAGCGACAGGTCTTGATTAAAGTCAAGGGATCTTATTTTGTAATTTCTATAATTAGATATGTCGTTCGTCAGTTGCATCAGATGACGCCGGCTTACATTATCGGCTCGTTATTGCCCAATATTATAATACCTTAAGTTGATTGGCCAGCATTGTTATGCCACCCGATATCAGCTGTCAAAAATTTTTCAAAGAAAAAAAAAAAGAACCTTCTAATTCTTAATGATCATTATATACGTGATAAACGATGAAAAATAACGTAAAAATTTTATTTTATGACACGTGTAGCGTGTGTGACATGAATGCAGGATGTGCGATACTGAACAAGTTGTACTGCATAACAAGACTGTAGATCATTACTAATAATTTTGGATACAAAAACTCCGTTCAGCCTATTTTTTTTTTCTTGCCGTATTTTTTAATTCATAAAAACTCTTTCCTTTTAAAGTTTACTTTTTTTTAAAAAAAAAAATTCAATGTTTGTTATTCGAAAAGAAATTGCTATTGCGGCAGTTAATAGATCAAATGCATTAATAAATTATAATGTCCACAATGATACACATAAACGATATGAATTTAGAAAACAAACAATTCTTACCGATAATTCTCTTACTAAAGATGAAAAAACTTTTGCAATAAATTGTTTAACTAAAAGTTATGATCGAAATAAAATTCTTGATAATTCAGGACCAAAAAGAACTTGTGAAAATTGTAAAGAAGAATGTTTAGCTACATTATACTGTGAATTTTGTGTTCGAATTTATTTAAAAGCAAATTTTTTAAATTGGACATCTGGAAATGTTAATATTGATAACTTAATCCAGAAATGTCAATTGGAAACACTTCATCCACACATGATAGTTGAATGGATTCCATATAATAATTTAGAAAATATCAGGTATCTAACAAAAGGTGGTTTCTCTGAAATTTATACAGCTTATTTGATTGATGGAAGTTATGAAGAATGGGATTCTAAAAAACAACAATTAAAAAGATTTGGAAGACTAAAAGTGATACTTAAAGGATTAGAAAATGTTGAAAGTGCAAATAAAAGTTGGTTTGAAGAGGTTTGTGACCTAAATAATGTATTTATAATTACCGAAACCAGGTTTATGTTATTAACAAGTCTTTAAATTTATATAGGCTAAATCACATTTAACTATAGGTAATAAATGCCCAGAAATTGTCCAATGTTTTGGTTTAACACAAAACATATCAAATGGAAATTATATGCTTGTAATGTGTATTATGGATATAAATTTAAGAGAATATTTACAACAAAATTATAATAAACCTACATGGAAAGAAAATATCAATATTACTTTTGAAATAGTTAGGGCACTTTATTTTATTCATAAGGAAAATGCAATTCATAGAGATTTACATTCAGGAAATATATTGTTTTCAAAATTAAATAATTTTTGGAATATTAGTGATCTTGGATTTTGTGGCCCTGCTGATAAATCATCAAAATGTATATATGGAAATCTTCCTTACATAGCACCAGAAGTTATTAATGGAAAAGAATATACTTTTAAATCTGATATTTATAGTATTGCAATGCTTATGTGGGAAATTTCATCTGGACAACCACCATTTATTAATCATGAACATGATTGCAATCTTGTAATGAATATTATTAATGGTATTAGACCAAAAATTGTGTTAGGAACTCCTGTAGAATATAAAAATTTAATGGAACAATGTTGGGATGCTGATCCATCAAGAAGACCTGATATCGAGACACTTACAATAAAAATACAAGAGATGAATTTATATTATCAAAGTATGACGGATGAATCATTTCAATCAGAAATAAATAGGAATTTAGAACTAGATAAAACAAATAGTAGTACGAACAGTACATTATTTACAAGTAAAATTCATCAATTTGAAAATCTACCAGAACCAAGAAATGCAACAGAAGGTAATATTTTAAACAAACACTATTTATATTATTTAAAATATCTATTAATATTAATAAATATTATTTCTCTTTTTTATATTTAATAGAGGAATTAGAAGGTAATAATATAAATGCAACTTTTATACTTTTATTAAAATTATTTATAATATTGCATTATATAATAAATTAGAAAGTAAATCATTAAAGCATTATTTATTTTGAACAGCATTTCATAGTAAATCATATGACTTTAATATTCCAAATGATAGTAAGTATTTTTTTAAAAATTGCACTAAACTTACAGTATTATATAGATAATCAATTATTAATTTTTACTTTTTTCTAGTTGATGATATTAATAAATCAAGCAATCAGGATAATAGTAAAACATCAAAAATAAGTAGTATTTTTAAAGGTTAGTAAATTTATTTATGTATTTTAATAACTTATTAAGATAATTGTATAAATTGATAATAATTTAAATTTTAAATTTTAGCTAATAGTAAAAAATTATCCAAAATATTTGAAAAGTTCCAAATGAAAAATAGTAAGTAAATTAGCTAATATTATTTATTAATATATATACTTACTGAATATAATTTTATTTTAATTTTATATATAAAGAAACAACGCAACAAATAAAAGGGCCTAATATTGTTAATTTTAATGGTGAGTAAAATGCCGAATATGCTTATTTATACTATCAATGTTTTTTTATATTTATTCAATTTGTTTTATTTTGATAATTAAGATGAAGATGAAATATATAATAACCCAAATCTTCATTCCGAAGAACAAAATGAATTGGAAATCCCTGATGGTAAATTATTTTTTTAACAAATGTGAAAACGTTAAGCTTCAAATTGCTAATTTTTTTTATTATTATAATTAAATTTTCTAGATGTTTAAGATAAAATGGAATTAGATTTTTTCATAAACTTCAATTTTTATATAACTAGCTTTTTATAAATTATTATAAATATTTTATATTTAATATTATTTAAACACTAAGACTAGAGTAGTAAGGTTTTTTACAAACTCTTAGTTTGTAATTTAAATAATTCAATTTATTTTCATATAAATATATATTAAATAAATTATTTATTTTCTATTTTAAATGATTTATAAATTTGTACTATAAATATTCCTCCTTCATTTGGATCATTTTAAATGAAAGCTTTAAATTAATCCAAAAATTGAAAATACATTTAAGGCTTTGCCAAAAATTTCAAAGACGAAAAAAATGGCTTTGGAGACATATTTTATTATTAAAATACATAAAAATAATTTCAAAAATAGAGTCAGCATATAATTTTACAGAATATAGATAATCGGCTTTATGATTTTAATACTAGTTTTGTTTGGGATTCTTTTTTCGCGATATATCCTTATTTATCTTTTTTAAGCCATTGATTGCATCATTCTTCCTTATTATTCGTTCCTTCATTTTCAAAATTTTTTCCTTATCCGTCTTAACTCATCACGTGCTTGCCGCAAAGCCTTTCCATTTCGCTTATATATGTACCATAAGATGACAAGACATACTAGCGCAACTTAATATTATATCTTTTATAGTTGTTCTTTTTGTACTATAGACTTATGGATCGATTCCAAGAACCTATCTTCAACCTGGTTTGTTGGAAAATTTTGTCAAACTCTTCCTGCAAGCGTTGAACAATGGTGAGCCATAACTTTATCTTTGTTCAGATAAAGGTCTTTGCAATCTTTAATAAACCTATAGCTCCAAAAAAGAAAACCGAGTTGATCACAGAAATTCCAGTTTTAGTTAACGATCAAGATCAGGTGTTACGTGATAAGTCACGTGGTATCTTTTTTTACAGGTATTATAACTTTCAAAAATAGTAAAAGTCTAGTATTAAGAAAAAAACTCTTTCCCCATATTTTTTCATAGAAAACTGCAGTAAATAATATTTTTTTTTGTAATACCTTTCGACACCTTTTAGTGTCCGAGAAGTCAGAGGACCACTTGGTGGCCTTTTATGGAAAGTTTCTTCTCTTATTACCCTGACCTTTGAAAGTTGTTTTTTCTTATTTTCACTATACATTATTGTAGCCTACTTACCAGTATGGTTTCTACTAGTAAAAATACACCGGTCTTGGGAAAATTTTCCTTTGACGTTTCTTTTCAAAAATTTCACGTGACCCGTCCTAATCGGGCAGAATGCAACAAGATTTACAAAATCAGAAGATCAAGAAGCTTCTTTTTTGAGTTAGCAGATCACCCTTCTAACACCAATGATATTCATCTAAAGATACACACAAATGATTATCATATGAACAAAACCCCTATTAGGTATAACTCAACATGTAGCTTTTCTAACTTGAAATATCAGCTTAGTAAGATGTTACAACATTTTTTTTCCCATCAAGCTGTTATCCCACGTACGGTGCAAAAAAAGTATTTTAATCTTATTCGGTCAAAACTTTTAGATAGATATTATCTTATCAAATCACATGGTGAAAAACAAAATTCTAGAAACACATACACAAAAACTTTCTTTAATTTTTCATATAAACGATATTGTTTTTATTTTGGCATTTTTACACCCTGCCACCATAGTATTACACATGAGTTTGCTCCTGAACATGGCATAGTGTGCTCAGTTTCTACTCCTTACATCATGTCATTTAAACGACGTGGTTGTATTTTACATCAAAAACTTATTAACCTTTTTCAGTACAAGAATGGTACTGATCATATTATAGATACCTACCCAAATAACAAGACATTTCATGCTACCCACTTATTTAACCATTGGAAAAAGAAAACTATCAAACACATTTATTCCCAGCGTCTCGGGATTTCTTACAACAGTCAATACTTCGCTAACAACGTTAAACGCATCTGCTCTTTGGAGAGACGCATGTACCGGAAACGATTACATCACCTATGAATTCATCACACTACTGATAGCAAAACAAGTAAATGACAAAAACTTAGATTCGAACGCGCCTGTAAGTCCGTTTTTAATAATCACAGTGCTCGCAGGGATTCGCAAGTACCAGCCGATAATATAATAGATCAACTACATCGTTCTCGACAACATCGATTTCTCTTTTTACCATCGCAATATGTCTACAAACTCCTTCAACATTTGAAATATCAAAGAAATTTACGTCTTAACGATAATCAAAATTACAAATTCCCTATACCGCTTAGAGCGATTAAACCGAAAAAGCTTAAACTGAAACGTCCTATAACACCTGTCACACCCCTCCAAAATATTCCGCAGGAAATGCTGGAAGAGATTACGAACACCCATGATTTACCTGCCATCACTATACAATCCATTCCTTTTGATGATAGGAATACTTGGCATGATAAATTAGGTATCCTGATCCTTAACGACCTCCTTCCTTATGTTACAGAAGATCCCATATACGTCTCTAAGAGATAAGAAAAGCTGAAAGGGAAACACCATGCACTAGGTAGCAAAGCCTAGCTCGTGGCTATTAAAGAACGTAAAAGTCTTGCCGAACGCAACGCTGAGCATGATAATTATATCAATACACTTTCAACACGTGCAAAACTTTGGGGTACATCCTTCAATAGTATAGAACATCGTGAAGGTATGGTGAGAGACCTTACCGACTTCCAAAACCACTTTCACAAAAAAGATTTCTGTTTTGACAAATCGTCGAACACTATTACATGAAAAACTGGATAAAAGAATATCTGTTTCCAAAACTAACAAAAAACTAGAACAACTTGAGCTGGAATTTGCTCAGTTTAAGATTGATTATTTCTCAGTCATGAATAGCAGCGCTGACCATTACCGTTATAAAAGTCACACGTCTGATGACACAAAAGAATTAGAACTCCGACCATGTAAACACCCAGATAATATGTCTTTAGATAACATTAAACAAATAGGTTCCATTAAAAAACTTTGATCAGATTTACTGATCACGGATGATGTTAACGTCTCCACCTTTTAAGAATTATAATTTTTATTATATTTTTTTTACACCAGTAGTTTACTATATCTTAACACCGGGTAACCCCCATCGTACAATTTAACTACAACCGTACACAATTAGAATAGTGTGAACCATTCCATCTCTGACAGTATTTACAAATGGCGGCCATATTGGTCGAAAGAACAATATGGATCTCTTTTTTTTTTAATTTTTGATTGTTCTACCTGGCGGGTTTCTCCTGAGAATGATCTTGGATCTGACTCACGGTCTCCCTTTTTTAAAGGTCAGAAGTCGTCACGCTTAGGGGTGGCTTGACATGTAGTGATAGAATTACTTTAGACTCATTTGTATGTTGTCCGTGTAATTGATACTACCGTTTGGTTCTTTCTGTTGCATAAAAATAAAAAATAAAAATAAAGTAAAAGTCTAGTATTAAAACAAAGATCCAATTTAAAACAAATCCGTCAGAGCAAAGATTTATTCGAATGATAATTTTGAAAGGAAATTTTCAAATAATTCTTTCGGTATTGGTATTAACATTGGATCAGATGGTACAAAGGTGAAAGCATGGTGAAAGAAAGGAAGGAGCGGGATTGTTGGCAATTAACTAGGGACTTGACTGTTGAAGAATTTGAAGAATGTAAAAAGATTGAATGTGAATTTGTGAAGAAGGTGGTGAATAGAGATTCTTTCACAGGTCATTTCGCTAAGATTCTTAAAATATCAAACAAGTGGAAAATTATAGTGTATTTCAAGGATAAAAAATCAACGGAGACGGTGATGGAAGAGTCATTAGCACAGGAATCACTGAAGAGAGTATGGAAAGTGAAGAATTTCAAGGAGATTCATAGAGCAGAGAAAGTGGTGAAAGAGAAAATGGACAGACAGTCAGGGACACAGGATCTATATCACAAAATGAAAGGGATTTCGGTGAGTCTTATTTGGATGCGCCACCACAAAGAATTTATTCAGAATTAAGTGGTATTAGTATGTATCAGAATCCGAAAAAACCAAATAATGACAAAGTGGGATCTTCAAGTAAAGGAGTTGCGTTAATGGAAAATCAGGTTGTGGATGAAATTGATAAGTATAATAGAAAGGGAGTTGAAGATGATGCAACAATTTATACGGTAACGAGTAAGAAATTACAAAAAGATAACGTTACCACGGATGAGGTCGTAAAAATTATTAATGATCATGGAGAGAACTAGAATTTCGAAGGGGAATGAATTTCTTATAAAAAATATGAACCCATATGGTTAAGTTCACCAGCAAAGGATAAAATGACAGACGTACTAGCTCCAAAATATGAGGAATTGAAAGAAATTTTCGCGAAATGTGGAGAAGAAATGGAATGGGAAGCTATAGAAAAGGAAGCGGTAAGTAAGACAGAAAGGATGGAGGAATGGATGCCAAAGGATTAAATACATGTTTTTATAAAACAAAGCATCGTTTACGCGGTGGAATCACATGATGTGATACAAAAATTTACTACGTTAAATGATGAATTTACAAAACGCGTTAAGGAGGAAAATCGCGAGACGGATATTAAGAATATGAATGAAAAAGAGCAACCAGGAACCCTAAGGAAAAGAAATATCAGAAAAGGTGGAGGGTAGAACGGGAATAAGTAATTGTTTGTATAATTCTAGTTGAAGCCACGTGTTTACGTTATAAAAAACTTCCAACAGAAAAATAAAGGATTATTGGTTTTGTTTATGGTTAGGTTTGGATGTAATTATATATATATAATTAGTTTAGATACCTTATTGATTTGATACTTACGCTATGAACTTATGATTGATTATTGTAAATAAAAAAAAGAAAGAAAAGAAAAATGAAAATACATTTAAGAGGTAATTTATCTTGATAAATATTTTCTTCGTGTAATTTTTTTATACGATTAAAGTTGATATATCAGGAGTTGTATTTTTTATAGATTCTATGTAATATCTATAACTCTATATATATCCAATATAAATTTGTTACATAAATTTTTATAAATCTGTAATATATATAAATAATCTATGTATTTTTTATATAAATGTAAAAATATTATAAATATTCTATATAATATGCATATAAATATAAAATTATTTAAATATAAATTCATGTGTAATTTATAGCCAAATAAATATGATGCAAATATTTTAAATAAAATTATACAAATACAGAACTATTTAAATATAAATCCATGTATAATATAAAATCAAATAAAACATATAAAATTCAAATATACATTTTATTTAAAATTTTCATATAAATCTATATGGATTATATAAGTTAATTTTTAATAGTTAGTCTCAAATCTCATTTGTAAAATTCATTCGAAATAACTAGAAACAAACTATTATAGTTTGGTCGTACAGAGTTACACAGTTATACTATAAACTGTTTCGTTACATTACATGATTTTGTACGACCTAAATTTTTTTTAGGCTTAATCGTGAAATTATCACTTTTTTTTTCTTTTTTCGTTTTTCTTCTATAAACTCTTTCAACTATCTTCTTTCTTGTTATCAATTTTTTTCTCTTCCTTTTCATCTTCACGTTCTCAATAGCTTTACAACTTTTTCCACTTCAAAAAAGGTAAACTATATCACATGTATCACGTGATATAATGTATTTACTTGCAGTAAACGATGAAAAATAACGTAAAATTTTATTTTAAGGCATGTGTAGCTTGTGTGACATGAATGCAGGATTTGTGCGATACTGGGCAAGTTGTACTGCATAAAAAGACTGTAGATCATTACTAATAATTTTGGATACAAAAAACTCCGTTCAGCCTAATTTTTTTTTTCTTGCCGTATTTTTTTCTAGTTTTTTAATTTATAAAAACTCCTTCCTTTTAAAGTTTACTTTTTAAAAAAAAAAATTCAATGTCTGTTATTCGAGAAGAAATTGCTTTTGCAGCAGCTAATAGATCAAGTGCATTAATAAATTATAATGTCCACAATGATATACATAAACAACATGAATTTAAAAAACAAACAATTCTTACTGATAATTTTCTTACTAAAGATGAAAAAACTTATGCAATAAATTGGTTAACTAGAGGTTATGATCGAGATAAAATTCTTAATAATTCAGGACCAAAAAGAACTTGTGAAAATTGTAAAGAAGAATGTTTAGCTACGTTATACTGTGAAATTTGTGTTCGAAATTATTTAAAAGCAAATTTTTCAAATTGGACATCTGGAAATGTTAATATTGATAACTTAATCCAGAAATGTCAAACGGAAACACTTAGACCAAATGTAATAATTTAATGGATTCCATATAATAATTTAGAAAATATCAGGTATCTAACAAAAGGTGGTTTTTCTGAAATTTATACAGCAGATTGGATTGATGGAAGATATGATGAATGGGATTCTAAAAAACAACAATTAAAAAGATTTGGAAGACTAAAAGTGATACTTAAAGGATTAGAAAATGTTGAAAGTGCAAATAAAAGTTGGTTTGAAGAGGTTTGTGATCTAAATAATGTATTTATAATTACTGTAACTGGGTTTATGTTATTAACAAGTCTTTAAATTTATATAGGCTAAATCACATTTAACTATAGGTAATAAATACCCAGTGATTGTCCAATGTTTTGGTTTAACACAAAACATATCAAATGGAAATTATATGCTTGTAATGAGTATTAGGGATGTAAATTTAAGAGAATATTTACAACAAAATTATAATAAACTTACATGGAAAGAAAATATCAATATTACTTTTGAAATAGTTAGGGCACTTTATTTTATTCATAAGGAAAATGCAATTCATAGAGATTTACATTCAGGAAATATATTGTTTTCAAAATTTAATAATGGTTGGAATATTAGTGATCTTGGATTCTGTGGACCTGCTGATAAATCATCAAAATGTATATATGGAAATCTTCCTTACATAGCACCAGAAGTTATTAATGGAAAAGAATATACTTTTAAATCTGATATTTATAGTATTGCAATGCTTATGTGGGAAATTTCATCTGGACAACTACCATTTATTAATCACGAACATGATTATAATCTTGTAATGAATATTATTAATGGTATTAGACCAAAAATTGTGTTAGGAACTCCTGTAGAATATAAAAATTTAATGAAAGAATGTTGGGATGCTGATCCATCAAAAAGACCTGATATCAAGACACTTGCATTTAAAATACAAGAAATGAATTTATATTATCAAAATATGACGGATGAATCATTTCAATCAGAAATAGATAGGAATTTAGAACTAGATATAACAAATAGTAGTACGGACAGTATATTATTTACAAGTAAAATTCATCAATTTGAAAATCTACCAGAACCAAGAAATGCAACAGAAGGTAATATTTTAAACAAACATTATTTATATTATTTAAAATATCTATTAATATTTATAAATATTATTTCTCTTTTTAATATTTAATAGAGGAATTAGAAGGTAATAATATAAATGCAACTTTTATACTTTATTTAAATTATTTATAATATTGCATTACATAATAAATTAGAAAGTAAATCATTAAAGCATTATTTATTTTAAACAGCATTTCATAGTAGATCATATGACTTTAATATTCCAAATAATAGTAAGTATTTTTCAAGTTGTATTGAATTCATTATAAAGTTAGATATATATTTATAAAATTTTACCTTTTCACTAGTTGATGATTTTAATAAATCAAGCAACAAGAATGATGATAGTATGATGTCAAATATAAATAGTAAAAGTTAGTAATTCATTTATATATTTCCATGAACATTTTTCTTATAAGAAATAATTGGATAAATAAATAATGATTCATTATTTAAATTTAGCCAATAGTGACAAATTGTCCAAAGTATTTAGAAAACTACAAATAAATGATGGTAAGTGAATAAGCTAATGAATAAGATAAATTTTTATATTATTGAAAATATTCATTAAACATAATTTATTTAATTTAATAATAACAAGAAACAATGCAACAAACAAAAGAGCCTAATATTGTTAATTATAATGGTAAGTAAAAATATAATGCAAAATATGCTTATTTATTCTGACTATTTTGTAATTTATTTTATTTTGATAATTAAGATGAAGATGAAATATATAATAACCCAAATCTTCATTCTGAAGTACAAAATGAATTGGAAATCCCTGATGGTAAATTACTTTTTTAACAAATAAAATGTGATAATATTTTATTTCAAATTGCTAAATTTTATTATTATTATTATTATAATTAAATTTTTTAGATATTTAAGATAAAATGGAATTAGATTTTTTCATAAACTTCAATTTTTATATAACTAGCTTTTTATAAATTATTATAAATATTGTATTCTTATATTTTAAATTATTTAAACACTAAGACTAAAGTAGCAAGGTTTATACAAATTCTTAGTTTGTAATTTAAATAATTCATATGATTTATAAATTTGTACTATAAATATTTCTCCTTCATTTGGGTAATTTTAAATGAAAGCTTTTAATTAATCCAAATTATTTAAGAATTTATAATATAAACTAATGCGGTTACACTTTGATATATTCAGCTCGCTTATAAATTTTTCGAGAGTAATTGAGTTTTTATTAAAAATCGAACGTACCTATCTAAAGTTTTTTAGATTAGGATAACATTTAGGGATGTTGACCGGTTTGTCTAGTTCGTTTTAAGTTCTAAACCAATAGTTTCAGTGGTCAAACCAGTTTTAACTAGTTTTAATCGGGTTTAACTGAAAACATAATAATAGTTTATCTTAAATGGATTATCTAGTTTTAATCTTGTAGTTAGACTAGGTTTAACTGAAAGTATAAAAGTAGTTTATCATTTTCCTAATCGATTTGAGAGCTGCGTAAATTAAAATTTGTATGTAACTTAAAATTTTAAAGTGATAAAATAATAATATTTTATAATATTTTTAATTAATACAAATTATTATCCTCATCATCTTTCATAAGGTCTTCCTAAACTAATTAACCCCTGAACTTTTGCTGTATTGCCGTTGACATAAATTACAAGTAATGGACGTTTTACAAGCATTCCACGAAAAATATTTCCAAACTGAATGAATGTCCGACATTTTTTTACTTTCCGTTCATTATCATCATAGAAGTGTTAGTTTCTATTTTATTTATATTTGAGAGGCTAGCATTAACATCATTAGAATTATCAGGAATTAAAACAATTTCCCATAATAAACTAATCTGTAAAGCGAATTTATAAATTAAAAGATAAATTTGGAATAAATATGTCAAACGACATAGGAAAAAAAAGTTTAAGTTTATTTAAGCTTAGTTATCAACTCTATTTCTCAAACTAGTAAAATAACTAGTTTTAACTAGTTTTAGCTAAATCAAAACGGTTTAAGCTTAAACTCGGTTTTAACCAGTTCGAGCGAATCAAACTACTTAACATCCCTAGTAACATTAAGAAGATTTATAATTGATACTAATACTTACTAATTAAACAATTAAAATTCTTTACAGAAATTATTAAAAGTGTAATACTATAGGAAATACAATTCCAACAAAAGAAAATGAAAAAAAAATTTATAACTTTATCTAAGAAGTGAATGTATAATAAATAATTTTTTCAAGAGAGAGTAAATAGGTTCGTGACATTTAAATTAATGTTTCACAAAGCAAAAATAGTTTAAAAATTCGAGAAACAGTTTTTTATTATTTTTTTTATTCAGGAAAAAGAATACAAACGGAAAATTATTGTTAAAGAAGTGTAACCTGTAACTACGAATTTGATGAAAGTATAGATAACTCAGTAGTTGAATTTTTTTTTCCAGTAACAAATAACTTTACACTCAATCTAACCACCTTACATTATATCTTATTTTCAAACTTAAACAAAATTCATATTTAAAATTTTACAACTTAATTCACACCATATTAATTAAACTTTATGTTTAACTTCAAACCATTTTACATTCGTATATATTTAAGCTTAAAAATCACCAAATAAGGATGTTCGTCATGAAATTATGAAATGGATTATTTCTCAAATTGATTAGTAATAGATAAAGAAAATTGAAAAAATTTTGATTTGTAAGAATAAAAGTGTATTTTGAAATTTAGACTTTTAATAAAGTTTGTAAAAGATATTTCTTTAAATGATTTATATAATCTGTTTCTTGCTATTTAATATCCATTTTAATTTACGTATATAAAATTAATATTTACGTATCGTAAACCTTTCCTAACCATAAAGAAAGCCTATAAGAAAATACATCATTCGCAAGTGAGCTTGAGTTCTTGTTTACATAATATAAAATAACGTACTTGGTTAAATATATTAAATAGCATAGACTAATAAAGTTAATTTCCAATATTATACTTCATGAAGCTCTTATTGGTTAATAAACTTTGATACGAAATTGTTAATAAGTACTTTTATCATCGTAACTAACATTCTTGCACTCTTTCGGAAATTGCAACATTTTAATAATTTGTTACCATAAGTTTGCAAACGAGTCGTTCGTGATTTTAACCTAAAATATTATTGTATGTAATACCAATAAAGTATTCGGTTAGATTTTATTTATTTTTTTGATTATTTTATAAATTATGAATAATTTTACGAATATAAAATGCAACTGAATTTTTTTTTTCAGTCAAACAAGAAACAATAACAATAATATTCTACTATTTTATTATTAAAATAAGTAATCCTGAATAGCTCATTAACCACCAAAAAAGAAAATAATTATTTATATACTGTATATACTACTTTATAACTGTCTTACATATACTGTAATTTTCATTTTAGATTTGATAAATGAAAACTTCTAATAATAACTACAACACTTAAATCCAAATTACAAAAATAAATTGACTGGATTAATCAATAGCTTTTTATTTATTAACGTCAGTACTTTGATACTACTTATTAATAAATTGAATAGTTCATTTAATTTAATTAATTTCAATTCTCAACAAAAAAAATTACGATAGTAATTCTATATAATTACTTTTGTATTGCTTTTGCATAAGACTTAACATATTTTTATCCGCTTCTTGATTAGTATTATTTATTTCTTTAATATAACTAATTATATAATTGGCAAAATCATATAATCGAAGTATTGTATCATACACTCTTAATAAAAGAAAATCTTTTAGATTCTATTACTCTGCAATGTGAATTTTTAAACAAATAATGAATATTTTTTAGATACGCACTGTATTCTATATACGATATTCTTTAATGAATAGTTTTTTACGCTCACATACTTTTTAATTCATACAATAAAATGAAAAATTTTAAATTTTTAAAAAAAAAGTTCAATTATGGTAACATATTTCTAATACAGTAATACGTAACATCACGATACTTATGATTAATAAAATATTATCTGTATAAATATTTTCCTATCTAATTGCATGTCGGTCAACGCTGTTCCTATCAGTATTTCGAGTAGATTTCCTTCCTAAATCTAATTCGAATACTTAAAAACTTAATGTATAACTCGCTAATGATTGAATAACATATAGACATTATCACAACTAAGAAATTGATGGTTTAACAAAAGATGCATTCTAGGCTCGTTTCAACTGATGAAATATAAACTTGTTCCAAATATGCGAGTTTAATAAGAGCATAAGTATGCAGAAATAATAAAATGCTAATTTTGATACTTACCATTCCTTTTCCGTCTGTTCTGTTTTAATTTATATTTAATAATATATACACTTGTGCTTCTTCGACTAATCACGAAAAAATATCACGAAAATTCACGTGATTATTCATCACCGGTGACAACACCTTTGTTTTTAATATAAACTTTCTTTAAGTTACGTTTCAAATATTTTGGAATAGTTATCAATCAGTATAGTTGTAGATTTGTGGCTAATATATTAAGTGTTAAGAAATTATTTAAATATTTCAGTAAATTTCTAGAGTGTTGCAATAAGGTTGATGAATATAACAGTAAAATTTTTGATTTATATTTAGGTAAATTAGATATTACATAATATTAACATTTTTTTTATTTACTGCATTTATTATAATTGTCCGAGGACTTTTACATTCTACGCAAAAGCATGCAATATTTGTCTGTCCCACACGTGACTTATATACACGTGACATATATATACTTTATTTAAGCTTTAATACTTTTTATACTATTAGCTTATTATAAATTTTGATACTATTAGCTTAGAATTAGTCTTTATTAAACTTTATTTTAACCTTCATAAGATGTATATAATAAATTTAGTTGTTTTTAAATTATTTCTTCATGTAATTAATGATTCATTAATAATAAACGAAAAATATAAATGAATGAAAAAATATAACATATCTTGCGTAATTTATTTTCGTTATTAAAATCTTCAAATAATAAATTAAAAATATAAAATGGATAACCAGTCTGTATTCATTCATCCTGAAACACTTAGAAAACGCAAAATTAGAGAAAATGAAACTCATAATCAACGTGAAAGAAGTTGTGCTCGTGGTGTTTATAAATCGTTGCAAAATATAACACCAATAAGATTTTACTTTGGAAAAAGTGCAGCGTGACGCCCGCTTCGGACGTTTAACGGTCACCGTTACAAAGTAATAGTTGAATTTTAAGTAAAAAAAATATACTTAAATAATAAGGGAAAAAATTATTAAAAATAAAAATCAGAAAAACAACATAGCCTAAAATGAGAAATAAATAATAATTTACCTATACATATATAAGTTAATAAAAAATAAATATATATATAAAAATAAATAAAAGAATTGCATAAAAAAAATTAAAAAAAAAATTAAAAAAACTGGAACGAAAGATACTAAAATTCACTTTTTTTTAAAAAAACAAAGTGAAAAGAAAATATTATTAAAATCTTGGTTTTAAAAAAACCGAAAAAAATAATATTATTAAAAAAAAAAAATTCAGTCTAAAAAAGAGACCGAAAATTATTAAAAAGCAAACTCGATCTAAAAAAAGACTGAAAAAAATATTTCTTTTAAAACAGATAGCTGCGGTAAGATGCTCTGCTGCGGCCGACCACATTGGAATGACCGAAATGAAATATGATAAGACAAATTCAGAACGTACATGGAGTAGATCAGGTGCAGACATATCACGCGTTTCCATGTTGCACAATTTCAATCTTGTTAATCTAATTTTGTTTTTATATGATTAAAATTCTAGATCATATGTAATATTTATTTCACGGAGTCTATTGTGGAATATCATGATTTCACACTTAATTACCGTTACAAATTACACAAGTACACAGGCTTTATTTGTTTGTTTGTTGTATAATGAAAATACAAAATAGATTTTTTTTTAATTTGTTATCGCTTAAATTTAATTTTTAATAATTTCCTTCATTTTAAACCTATTTTAAAATTTTATTAATCTTGTTTTATCTTACTGTC